GAGTTTACACAGACCCAAATTTTCTTCGAAACCAAAAGAAAGTTTGAAAAACGAGTTACCTTTCGATTGAAGCTCTAAATGTGGTAGTGAAGATGATACAAAGTACTTGTCGGATTATAGATTCTATAACAATAATTAAAATGATATGATTAGAGAAAACCACTTTGGTCTTGAAGAAGCTTCATTCTTGATCATGTGGCTTAATCTCCATCATCTTTTCTGGTTCTTAACCGTCTGTTCGAGATTGAAAGAAAGTAGAATACACACGAGAAAAAAAGCATCAAATAAAAGTTTCAATAAATCAACAAGAATCTGAGGAGAGTAGAAAATACCTTTAGTAGTCTTTGCATAACAAGGTCTGGATAAGCTTGATAATCATCAGCACCTACTATGTTGCTCTACGGTACAGGATTGGTTTGTTGTGCTCTCTGAAGAAGTACTGTTACGGGAAGATAAATCCCAATCTAGAGATTCACCGAGAATCCCGGTAGTCCAGTCTAGAAGATGACTACAAAGGGAAGATGAATGGTGATGATGATGAACAAAGATTATTTATGTTGATTGATTTCTTGGCCAAAAGCCAAAGGTGTACATATGCTAACTGTCTCACAAACCAATTTATCTAAGAATAATTTCAAAAAATGCCACTTTTCAAGTGCCACTTTTCAAAAATGCCACTTAAAAAAAACAAAATTCATTATATTATTTATGTTTGGGTTAACTATGTTGTATTAAAGTTTAGTTTTGAAAGTTTAAGGGGTTTTAGGGAACAAACGATTCGTTCCGACAACTTCGGACCATATTAACCCCTTTAATAGTTTTAGGGTTTATAATTTTAAGATTTAGGTTTTAAAAATCCATAATTAGTGGCATTTTTACAAATGGACACCCCTAAGTGGCATTCTTGCAAATGTAAACATCAAAAATGGTATTTTTGCAATTGTCCATTTATCTAGAGGGGTGGTATTGAACGAGAGAATTTAGAAAAATTAGAAAATAATTGATTTTAAATGATTTTATGGAACCTATTGAAATCCCAACAAAAAACGTGAGAATTGGTTCTTCACAATTTTTATTGAAATTCCATTAAATTCATTTGAAATGACTATGCCAAAAATACTGCAGAAAAAATGAATTAACATCTAGTAGAATTAAGATTCTAGTAAATTG